GATGCATCCAGGAGACACAGATACGAACACAATACACACCAAGTAAGTTAAGAGAACTAATGATGATATTAATTACTGGAATCTGGTGTGACATCTAAGTACACACAGAGGAGATGGGCTGTAGTGGGGGCACACAAGCTAAATATTCAGCATTAAATCAGCTCCTGCCACACTACAAAAAGGACAACAGAGGCAAAGAGCATTTCAGGCAAAAAGCATGGTGCATTGATGGAATTAAATAAGCAGCCCACTGCAAGCACAGTGAAAATATAAAACAAATAGAACATCAGGTGAGCTAGGAGATGAGGAACTTAGTGATTTTTTCGCTAGATATTGTGAAAAGTGACAGTCTTGGAAGACTCGTGATTTTTTTGACTTGGATAAAAGGTAGTGCCACTCACTGAGATGAGCAACGCTTTTTTTTAAGTACCAGTTTGACACAATACAGTGAGTTTGCTTATCTGCATATAAGATACCTGAAGAGATAGAGGGGCATCTCATTCAAGATATATGTTTCAATTAGAAAATTATACTTGGTAGTAATACATATGAGGGAGATAACTGACACCATTGGGGAGGGGAGAAGGACACTGGATTAAATATGAAATCTTGGGTAAATATTTTAAAAACAAAACACAGCCCTAAAAAATAATTCTGAGTAGAAATAATCAGAAACATGAGAGAGTTTAAGGAATGTGCTAATTAGTGTCAAATAACACAGAGGATCCATATAAAACATGAGTTAAAAAACAGTGTGTTTTACAATCACAAAATACTAATTATTGAATATGTAAAGAAAAGAAGCATTTCCTCTGTAAGAAGCTAGTCTGTGATGTTATGCAAAGACTTTACAAGACTACAGACAATAGTCCTGTGTGCAAAGGAATAATGTTTCTCTATCCTGGTGACTTTATCATGTGCAAATAAGATTTTTATTGATTTATCCAGCATGACCCTTAAGTTTGCATAGGAAGGAACAGCTTCAACCTCAAACTACTAAGTAGATACAGTCTTAAAAGAATTTGTCTGCAGCCTGCAAGATGACTCAGTGGGTAAAGATAAAGGCTACCAAGGCTGACAACCTGAGTTCAGTCCCTCTACCTCACATGGTGGAAGAAGAGACTCTTGAAAGTCGTACTCTGACCTCGACGTGCACACCATGGTATGTGAGTACACACACATGCACATTCACAAACACATATGAAGGTAACTTAAATTTTTCTAAATGTCTCTAATGTAATTAAAATTAAGTTTAATTATTAAGACACTCAGTAATGAACACATTGAAAATAGTACATATTCACATTTCTATTATATAATTAGGTATTTTGAGCTTAAATTATTAGTGGTTAATTTCCAAGTTTGACAGACATTCTGATGGGTATTCATACATAGTATTTATGTTTACCAACTGTCACACTGTCATCATAACACAAAAGATGACAGATAGTCAGGTCACGCCTTAGAAAGGTTCTAAGTAGCTAGCCAGCCAGTATTTTGCTAGAAATGTCAATCAACTCCAGGGGTCCCTATGCAGAGGAGACAAGGAATGTAGTCTAGTCTGATACTCTGTGTCCTTTTTTATTTTGTCGCATTCTAGAAAGTCAGACTCAAACTTTATATATATCCCCACTTCGGTATCAAACACGTGGTTTGCATTCAGGGTTCTGTGCTAGCACTTCTCATAGGCCGTCTCATTTCATCTTCACCTGCCGCTACCAGCTCCACGTTATAAATGACCCAGCCAGGGCTCAGATGAGTTAAACTGACTTGTTCAAGGTCACAAAGCTTGCAGGAGGCAGAGTCAGGATTCAGATCAAGGCCACATCTTACGTTGGAGCCCCAACTCTTAACTTTTGCTGTTGTCAAAAGCAAAGACTCATGCTAAAAAGCATTCCCAACATAGTCCATGTTGGTTAGCATTAACTACCAATGGAAAGAAGAAGTTGTGGGAGGAGTGATAGAATCCTTTTCAGAAGTGCAAATAAATCATGAATTCCTATTTGAGTCATTCCCAATTCTGTATGTGCTGTCCAAACATCTTCACTACAATGAACTCTGTAAGAAGCAGGGATGGAGGGGCACAGAGGAAAGGGAACTTGTCTCTTCTGCAGTCGCCTGAGAGACTGATAGGGAGCATTCACCCCCTGTCAGCAGGCAGACTCTGCAGACAACACAGAGACTGGCAGGATGTCTCACCCAGGCTCCCAACTACATCTTCGCTAAAACTAGCCTATCTTCCATTACTATTGCTTAACACGTAAAAGAAAATGCTACTGCATAAAAACTAAAGCTTGTTTGCCCTAGCTCTGGGATACACTACACTTCCGAGGTAAACATAATCTGTTTGGGTTGCAATGCAAGCACTTCCTCTTGCTGCTTCAACCAAACTCTATCCACTTCCTGTATGTGAAGCCTTCACTACTCAGGAAACTCCAAGAAAAAGAGCAATAAAATCATCTTGTTACATTATATTAAGCCTACTCCTCCCGATACTGGGTCCTTAAGAAAGCTGTGTTGTGCGTGCTCCTGACTGCAGAGGAGAAAAGGACTCCCCCATATCTCCTCTTCCCTCTGTTGATCTTCACACCCAGCACAAGAGGAAAATCTTCCTTTTGGTTCTTTCTTCTTTCTCCTCCCCAAAATAGCCATCCTCCTACCAAGTCCAAGGATAAGCTGTTTGCAATCCGCAACTTCACTTTAGTAAGTATTTACCATCATCTACCATGCAGCTTTTTGGACTGTCGCTCTATTTCCAGGAGTGCACATCACAGGCATTCGTGTTAGTGCATAAAGGAGAAAAAGAGATTCCTAACTGGAAATTTAAAATTGCCTACAGACCCAAAGTATCCGTACCCCTTTCACGGCCTCCTTTTAGTTCTCTCCTTTGCCCTCCAACAACAGCTGTTACTTTCCCCTACTCTGTAGATGGAACTCTAAGGCACAAAACTATTAGGCTAATTGACCCAAGTCTCACAGGTCATCAGAAGGGCATGCAAAGCTCAATTCCACATGCTTTAACCCAAAATACAATGTCCAGTTCATTTTCTACAGATTAAAACATCTGTTTTTGTGGACAAATCTAAAATAGTTGTATTTAAGTCCACAAATTGCCCTACACAGCCAAAGCCTGGTCTAGATTTTGTTTCATCCTGGCATTCACTGCCCAGGAAAAAAGCAAAACAAAGAACCAGGCAAACATCAAAATACAGCACACGGGAGAGAACACAGTAAGAGGACAGTGGTTTTCACTGGCTTCAACCTGAAATCACTTACATAATATGCAACTACAGAATCAAATGAATCAGAAGTGGTGGGGCTTCTCAACCACCAGAACACAGTAAAATCTTAAGGGGTACTAATGTTGTCCTCAAGTGGGAGGCTCTGCCCTGTTTCTAACTGTGTTACGGGTACTCTAAACTGAGTGCATCCGATGTTTTTGAAAGTCTCTGTAGAAACAGAATTTAACTCTGAAGGTAGATCTGACTTTTGGAAACAGGCAAAGAAAAAAGTCACAGAGGACTTTCTTCACCATTTAGAGGAGATGGGCAGCTGAAATGGGAAATGCCTGTCAGCCTTATGGCTATCATGTTTTAGGTATATGCTATTACTGGACTCGGGAAATAGTTCATAAGTATTTTCTCATTTATTATCACAACTACACTATCAGTAGCTTCACCCCAGGTCTACAGATGAGGAAATGAAGTTCAGAGGGGTTAATTATCTTGCCCAAGGTCAACAGAGGCAAAACTAGTGTATAAACCCAGATGTTCTGGATTCTGAAATCATTGTGAAAGCTCTGGTGGGAAGCAGGCACACACAGTTTCTAAAGAAGCATCTGCCTGGGAATTGTGTGATCGTCAGCCTGTTCAGTCTTATGTGGTGGGCAAATGGCACAATGCATCTTATCTTTACACATTCCAAAACTGGTGTTAGTACCATTGCAAAGAAGTACACAAGCTGAAGTAGAGACAGCATTATCAGAATAAACGTGAACTGCTTTGGAAGAGACAATCATTTAGAAGAATAAGTTCTAGGCAAGCTTTTTTGAAATACCAACTAATTGCTTAATAAAATGATCATTTTTTTTTTTTACAGACAGAAGCTTAAGTTCCTGAATCCCTCAAGTGCACTCAGGTAAACATTCCTATCAACCAACCCACCAAGTACATACCCAAGGCCTACTAGTGCGCATTGCAATATGCGGACCATGCTGGAAACGTTCTCTGTCCACATGGAGTTACCATGTTGTTTCCAGCCGAGCACATAGTCAGTCATTATTGGTACAACCAAATTCCTCCTGTGCTATTAGAGTTTGTGTAAGCTGCCCTACAAAGAAAGCCTGCTCTATGGAAAAATCATTAGATCAATTAGATCATTTTCCCAGCGCTCCTTTCACTGTCTTGTAAGACTCATACAGTGGAGGCTAGCTTTAGCATTGGTGTTGCTATTCGTGAGTTAATTTTCCTTATGCAGAATTCAGCCTGCTCCCTGCCCCCCTCTCTCCCTTCTTGCCTCTTCCACCCGAAGTGGAAACTGCAGACTCAAACTCCCCGATGGCTCCAGCACCAAGAACTGGGCATGCTCAGAAGGCCGGGAAGGCTTTGGTTGCAACTGACAGTTCCCCGCCCCTGATTTGCCGCTGCCCCCCTTCCCCCACTCCAACAAGAGATACCGAAATGTTTATCTGAAAGATACGAGGCCTCTTTTCCCCGAGAATGACCCCATTTTAATTTCATCTCGTGGGGTCTTCAGTCTGGAGAACCCCACCGCTAGCCCAAGAAGACCGCATTATTTTTTCAGCACCGGGGACAGCGCCGCGCTGCCTCCGCCGTCCACCCTCCCCCACCTCCTTCCACCCCCCACCCCCCACCCCCCCCGACCTCAGCCCCCACCCCCGCACCAGCACAATGCCAAGGTCTCCCAGCAGCCGCAAACGCCGCAGCTGCGATAGTTCCCAGTCGGAGGCCGGGCCGAACGCCGGGCCGGCTGCTACTTACACTGCTCCGCTTTGGTGGACATGGTGCTGTCCAGATGGAAAGGCTTTGCCCCAAAATCTGTGTCGTGTGAGCTCCCTCGCTCCGCCAGCGATGTTGCGAGGAAAAGAGCGCATACCCCCCACCCCCCACCCCCTCGCTTTCCCCCTCCCTTAGGCCCGTGTCGCTACCATTCGGACAAAACGCACATCAAATTGCAGAATTCGGTCCCGGAAGGTTAGGAAATCGCCCCCGGAGAAATGGGTGGGATTTAATGGGCGGCCAAAGGCTTCCTGTCCGTCCCCTCCTGGAGCTGCCCGCGTGGATGTGGGCGGGGAGACCGAAAGGAGAGAGCGAGCTGCGGCTCCTGGTGAAATGGGAAAATGGGCTCGACCGGGGGAGGAGTATTTCCATTCATAAGGCGCACGGAGGGGCCGGGTGTTTCCCAGAGAAAAGCCTCTTAAAGTGCCGGAGTCCCCGACCATTTGGATTTCCCCATTGGCGTTCTCCAGGCCCGTAGATTCTGCGGGCGAAGCAGCCCCCGGCGCCTCGACGCGGTGACCCGAGAGGAGCACAGGTGCGTCCCACGCGCGTCTCAGCCTCCGGGAGGAAGGGCAGGGAGGCGGATCCGGGGCGGGCTGCACACAGCCGGGCCGGAGGGCGACGACGGTGCTCCCGAGGACTGCGAGGAAGGAAATGGAGAAGTAACACTCTGCATGGCTTCCCGGCGTGCTGCGCTCCGTGCCCTCTGCGTCCCCTGGCGGATGGGCTCTCCTGCTGCTGAGCAGCGATGGGAGGTCCCACTGCCAGGGGGCTGTGAGAAGACTTGAGGGGGTGGGGGTTGGAGCTAGGGAAAGGAGGAGATTTCCATAGATGGTGAAGCTGGAAGGTCCACAGAAAAGGAAGAGGAGAAACTGGAGACAGGAAGAACCCAGGCGTGCTCCTTACAGCAGTCCAGCCTGGGAGCGGTGGGAAGCCCCTTTATCTGCTGGGAAGCAGAAACCAATAGAAATGGGAAGCGATCAAAAGGGCACCATGCATATTAATCGGAAGACGCCTGGATAGTCCACCTCAAAGTAAGAAAGGCATTGGAAGCCCGGACCTAAAAGACCCAGGTCCCATTGCTTTCTCCCGCAGCTGTTCTTTCCATCTCTCTAAACCTGTGGTTCTTCGTCATCTGTAAAATGGGAACAATACAATCCATCCTGCCACCCAGAATAAATGGGCAGTCAAACAACACAGTGGGGGTGAGAGTTCTTTTAAAATGGAAAACTGCGACTGCTAGCCATTTAGAACCATTCTTCATTCAAGTCGTTCAGTTGGGAAACTGAAGGGCAATGATTATAGCGAACTGATTTACTAAAAGCAATAGGAACTCTAAGTCGAGGAGTGATTTTTAGTATCTATAAAACCAGTGTTCTTCCATCTCACGAGGAATGATCTGCAAGTTAAGGGAAATAATAGTAAATTCCTTGTGAGGATGTACTAAATATCCAGATCTTTGACTGCTAAGAAAAAAAAAAATACTGTGAACAAATGCACGGTATCTCCAGGGGAAAAAAAAAAGAAACTCTAGGGAGCTGTCCATGGTACACACAGCAGAGTTGCTGAACCGCACACAAGCGGGCAGGGATTTGGCTCTTGAGGATGCCCATGTGACTGCATTCTTAGTAGGTAGGTAGATAGTTGCCCAAGCTATCTCCCTGAACTATTGTTCACTTCCAAAACCTCAGCCCCGTCTTCAGGCAAAGATAAAATGATTCTGTGAAGAATGATGGTGAAGGTTGATGGTGAAGGTGATGGTTAATCTTGAGTAAATAAAATAAAATAAATGGAAGTCGATCTGAACAAAACTATGACTATAATGAACATTTCTGAGAAGACGGCAAATGCTTTGTGTGAATAAAGGAAAGCTTAAGGATTTATCCCAAAATTTCTGAGAAGTTTGAGTTTTAGTAAAGAAAGCAATAATTGAAGTTTGAAAAGGAAAAAAAAAAGTGGCTTGTACAAACACCAAAGGAGGAAAGAAGTATGCCCTGAAAACTATCCCCACCTCCTTCTCTGCCGGCCATTTCTGCATTTGTCATTTAACCTCCACTTCCACACTGAGAACTGGCCGCTGCTGAGGTCATGGCCACCCAGGTTAACCTGGATCTAGGTTTCAGATCTGCTCTTTATGGTCCTATTCAAGTCTTTTCACTTTCTATGTCTAAATTTTTTCATTAAAAAAAAATAGTGACACAATAGTCCTATCCAAAGCCATTGTCAGGATTAAATGGGCATGCCTGTGAGAATCCAGGGCAGCCAGTGCACACGAAGAGTCACTGTTGCTGGCAGTACTGCTCAGGATGCTCACGCACCTCATCCATTCAGACCAGTTCTCTGTGGGACCTTTCAATGCCTCAAGTCGTCCACATCATTGACACCACTCCTCAGCCTTGACTCTCACTAGTTCAGCCTTCTGACTTGTGATTGATTGGGTTAATTCACTAGCCTGGACCATCTCCACACCCAATTTCCCCAGGACAACACATGTTCAGTGAGACACACTCCTTCTTTTCTTCTCTCTGTCTCCTGCCTGGGTCAACCTTTCTTTTGTCCACTGCAGAAGCTATGCCTCTTCTCCTTGCCAGATAGAATGTCTCTGCTTCTTAAACCCTGCCTGTAGTTATAAATGTTTCTATTTGTTCTGGATAAGTGCATGCTCAGCATATAGAGAACTTTTCCACTCTGAAAAAGTTTGACTAATCATTCAACTGAGTAGGTAGCCACGTCTCTATGCAACCACCTGCATTGTCTTGCCTACTTGCTGTTCACTACTGGTGCAATAGATACTTCAAAGAGTCACTAATCATTCCGTTACCCAACTGCAATTATTTTTACTCTTGGGGCCAACGTTTGAAATAGTTCCCTATTCATTTTTAAAATTCCCTCTTCCCTTGACCTCTGTGGTACACATTGTTCAAATCTCTTTGCTTCTTTCTTGTGGTTCAAGATGTGAACTCTCAACTTCCTGCTCCTGCCCCATGTCTTTGTTCTTCTATCATAGACTCTTAGCCTCTGAACCCATAAGGACAAACTCTTTTAAAATAATGATAACTGATAACATGAAAATCGATATCATTATGTAGTTCCACCAGATCTTAATATGTTGTTATATTATATCTAATATTTATGTTCCAGAAATAAAATATTTTACAGATAATAGAAGCCCTTATAAAAATTATTATGGGGCAGGAGAGGTTACTCAGCAATACACAATCCATATTTTTGGACAAACAAATCCGAGTTTGTCCCAGGAAAAACTTCAGATGACTCTCAACTGTTACTCTAGAGGGATATCATGACCCAGACCCTCATAGTCACCTGCACACATGTACACAACCCTCTCCCCACATAAACATTTAAAGAATTAAAATGCAATCTTTTAAAAAACCTTCTATACATAGATCCACAAAGATATATGTTTTGGGGCTGACGAGATGTATTAATGGTTAAGAGCACTTGCTACTCTCCTCATAGCCAGCTGTAATTCCAGTTCCAGGGGATCCAAAATCCTTTTCTGGCATCACAGACACTGCATGCATGTGGTGCACAGACATACATGCAGGCAAAACACTTACATGCATAAGATTAATTTTTCAGTTTTTAAAATATGTATGTTTATATATTCTATTCTTGTGTCTGCGTAGTATATGCCAAGCAAGCACTGAGCTATGTCCCAAGTCCTATCTCATAGGTAGGTAGATGATAGACAGGCAGATTTTGTTTTTTCAGAAAGTCTCATGCATGTCAGTTTAGATTCCAACACACAGAGTAGCCAAGGATGACCTTGAAATTCTGAGACCCCGGACTTCACCTCCTGGATGTTAGGATTACAAGTATGCACTATTGCACTTGGTTTATGTAGTGCTTAGAATCAAACCCAGTGCTTCATGCACGCTAAACAAAAACACTCTGCCAAATGAACTACATATCTAGACCCATTTCCCATAAAGTTTTACAAATACATCTGTAATTTGGTAATAATTATGTAAAACTTTCTGCTCAACATTGCATTCTTAGTTAATCATGCCAATTAAGCACTCATTTATTTAGTTGTTGTGTGGGATGTGTGCACCTTGTTTGCTGTAAATTCTCTCGTTATTCACTTCTGTAGTCTCCGCTTCCCATCTCACCACAGGATCACAGGCAGGCTACCACATCCAGATTGACAGGAGCTCTGGCAATCTTTTTGTTTGTGTGTTTGGGTCTTTTGTTTTGTTTTTCTCTGTGTTGTCCTAGCTATCCTAGAACTTGCTCTGTACACCAGCCTGGCCTCGAACACAGAGATCTGCTTGTCTTTGCTTCCTAGGTGTTGGGATTAAAGGCATAGCAAGTGCTTTACCCACTAAGCCATCTCTCCGACCTGTCTATTGATTCATAGAACTATTCCACAATTAATTTAATTACGATCTTATTGGTGGAAATTTAGATTATTTGCAATAATTTTCTTTTCAGAAAACGAAGTTCAGAGAGCATTGTGACACATGCCCTTATATCCATAGATAATAATTCTCAAGGGGAAGTTCAATCTTTTTCTAGGTGTTGTCAAATCCCTCACTGAAGTGATTGTACCAATTTAGACTCCTTCAAGGTTCTATTTCCATTATGGCCAAATAAATGACTCTATCAGACCTATGCTCCCACAAACAATAATTATAAACCCTGGATAAAAGACCAAAACACTCTCTGAAAGTATTGGAGAGATTCTCAAGAGGCATCAACATTTGGAAGAAAGAAATGGCACCAGATGAGTTTTCATTGCTTGTGGCTAAAGGCTGCTACTCACAACGGTTAAAGACTCCAATAGTGTGCTCAAAGCATTTCTTACCAAAAATAGCAAAACACGTAGTTTAAAATAACTACAGCTGCTGGAAAGTGAGGGGAGAATTATAAGACAGAGCCAGAGCAAAAGACGAACAAATTCTGTTTCTCTGCCCAAATCTCTAGCTGATTTCCAGCCACATCCATGCAGGACTACACACAAACAACTCCCAAACGGGGAGCAAAAGAGCTAAGCAAAGATTTCTGCTGATGCCCAAGAGTTAGTTTGTATTTAATTAAACAACAATTTTTTTAAAAAAACTCAATACTCCTTTTTCTTTGGCTCTTCTTCTTTGTTTTGTACTATTCCAGTTTTATTTTATTTTTATTTCATTTTATTATGTTTTAGAGGATGGTTTGTTTTCTAGTGAGAGAGTGAAGAAAGGCTGTGGATTAAGGTGTAAGGGAAGATGGGTTGGCCCTGGGAGGATTTGGGGGTAGGGAATCCATAATCAGAATATAACAAAACACAGAGCCTCTACAACATAATAGTCACAGTATCTAGGATAAAACCCAAATTTTTGACATATAAAAAAACAGGATGCCACTGAGCAGTGGTGGCACACACCTTTAATCACAGCACTAGGAAAGGAGAGGCAGGCAGATCTGAGTTTGTGACCAGCCTGATCTACAAAGTGAGTTCCAGACAGCCAGGGCTATTCAGAGAAACCCCACCTCAAAAATAGATGGATGGATGGATGGATGGATGGATGGATAGATAGATAGATAGATAGATAGATAGATAGATAGATAGATAGATAGAT